TCCAACCTTCATACATACTTCCTCCTACTTCTCTTGACAGTTTCCAATCTATTCTCATCCATGTAAAGGCTTGAGAGCTCTAAGAATTCTTGTTGAGTCCAAACTTGAGACTTGGGGTAGGGGTGGGGGATCCCACAGTTTTAGGTGGAGCCAGAGAAAAATATTCACTCGCATTCCCCCTTGAGGCTAGAGCTTTGTTAACAGTTGTCTGTGACTGGCAAGTGGCTGATACTTGCCCTCCCCATCCCGCTGCCTTTGGCTCAGGCACCCGTTCCAATGAATAGTCTGACTCACCGAACTAAATTCAGCTTACAACCGAAGTTCCAACGGAATAGAAGGTTTGCAAAACAACGGAGTCAAATTTGGGGTGGAGGGGGACCCTGACTTCTCCTGATAGGACTCCTAGGGATTAAGGATCAGTCAACATGTGACCATTGGTGGAGAGAAAAAGTTAACCCAGCTGGTTTTGTTTTGTTTTGTTTTGTTTTTGTTATTACACTGACTGGTTTCCCCTCTGTACAGGGGTCTACCGTGGATGCAGGAGGTTAGGGGAGGGGACGGGGCACAGAGATTGAGAGGGATTAGGAAGCATCATATACCAAGGAACTCCTGGCTTTATAGAAGAGTAGAGGCACACAGAAGATACAGTGGACACAAACAGCAAGACAAGCCCAGAGAGAACCAGGAGGTGCAACACAGAGCTCTCTAACATCCAGACTGGGGAATGGAAGGGATTGGGTGGAGCAGGGCTGGTTGTTAGTCAGCAAGGTTTTATAGAACGTTTCAGCTGGAACATGGGTGGTGCAGAGCTTATCTGTCTCGGTGTCCTATGCTTGTCTGCCAATGTCCCCAGCAGTACATCACTAGCTTTAATTTCTTTATCTCTTCAAGAGTTTTAGAGTAAAGAGCTTTCTTCACAAGGACCAGAAAGCTAGGGGCTTTCCAGATGAGAAAGGCTCCCAGGGGTAATGGGATGTGTCTGAGGTCACACAGTTAGTAAGCATCAAAACCATGCATTTAGATTCCAGCACTATTATGTCAATGACTTGAGCTTAGGGACATGTGGGAATGATCCCTTTGAGGACAGAATGGTTGTTCCATTCTCAGTCCCAAGCATGGGACATTGCATATAGAAGTACTTTTCAATCCCGTGACATTGACCTCCTTGCTGTTCTTTGAACAAGACACTTCATTTCCCAGGTACTACATGCATTTGCATGAATTGGCTGTCCCCCATACCTGGAATGTTCTTTCTCCTCATTCCTACCTCTTGACTTCTCTGGCTTCCTTTGAGTCTCAGCTAAAATTCTACCTCCTGCAGGAGGAGATTATTTGGTCATTTTAGTCGTGTCTGACTCTCTGTTACCTCATTTAGGATTTCCTTGGCAGAGATGCTGGAATGGTTCACCATTTCCCTCTCCAGCTCATTTTACAAATGAGGAAACTGAGGCCAACAGGGTAAAGTAACTTGCCCAGGGTCACACAGCTAGTAAGTGTCTGAGGCCAGATTTGAACAAAGGAAGATGAGTCTTCCTGACTCCAGGCCTGAAACTCTATGTACTGCACCACCTAGCTGCCCCTCCCTCTGAAATTACCTCCAAGTAATCCTATAGTAAAGCGCTTAGCAAAATGCCTGGCACATGGTAAGCACTATACAAGTTATTATTGTTATTATTAATCTTATATGAACATAGTTGCTTTCATGTTGTCTCCTCCATTAGATTGTAAGCTCTTTGAGGGACTGTTTTTGCCTTTCTTTGTATCCCCAGCTCTTAGCCCAGAAATTGGCACATAGCAAGCACATTGATTTATTGACTTTAAAATGCCTGTTGAATTGTATGGTGCCCAACATAGATACTGATACAGGTTTATGGACAGTGGCAACAGCCCCTTTACCCCTGGTACACATGACAGTGAAAAGAACATCAGATTTGGAATTCAACCTCAACTCACTTCCCATTTCCTCTGCTTATTACCTGTGTTACCTTGGGTAAAATACTTTCCCTTTCTCTGGACCTTAGTTCCCTTGTCTAAAAGGTCATTGGATTAAGATTCCTTGTAGCCCCAATTCCCCTAAGCTAGCTACCAGGCCCTGGTGGGAACTCTCCAGAGGGTATTGGTGCCAGTGCCTATGGGATGATCATCCTGGTCATGGTGCCCTGCATCTCTCTGGAGCTCTGGCTTGGTTCTGGTCTGCCAAATCTGCTCTGAGGGCCAAAGAGCAGCTGCCTTCTTCCCTTCAAGCAAGGCACCAAACAATATCAGGCAGTTTACCCACCACCCACGCAAACTCTGGTGGCGGCATCTGGGTTGAGATCTTGGCAAGGTCTTGTGATTCCCAAGCAGGCCGGGATGCATTCCTTTTTCAGTGCCTCCTGTGCCTTTTAATAACCCAGCTGGGAGGAGGATGTGCAGAAGAGAATGTCCCAGTGTTCCAGCAGGGGTGGGACTCCTCCAGAAGGCAACAATGAGCATACGTGGGATCCTGGGGTGAGAGGGGGGAACTTTATAGTGTGTATTTTTCCAGGGGGGGCACCAAGTCATCCTGACCAAAGGTTCTTGAACACTCGTGGGGTAACCTCTCGAGAATGATCTTGCTTTAAGAAGGGATTGTGGTAGTGGTGCTAGGGTCTTTCTTTCCCATTCTGCCTCTGTCCCAGAAGCCACAATCTTTAGCAAACAGCCACTCTAGTTCCCAGAATCCCTGAAAAAAAGCATACTCAGCACACTCTACACCCGGGAAATTCATCAGCTCTCCAGGGAGGTGGCCCGAAGTTTATGACTTAAGACTTGTAACTGCGGCTCTGTCTGTCTCTCTGACTTACTCTGTCAGCTCCTTTCTCACCACAGATCTTGAGTAACGGGCAGAGAGAGCTGCCCCTTCCAACCGACTGTTGGTTGGTTGGAAGCCAACCTTCCAACCAACTGTTGAATCATTTCACAGGGGTTTGGTTTCTCAGTGGCCAGCTGCTTAGGAATGCTGGAGCCTGGGACTGAACTGTGTTCCTAGGTCTCCCCCAGGGAATCCATTTTGGAATACCCACACCCCAGTTATTTACACCCCTCTCTCCTGTCCTAACACCTAAATTCCAAAGCCTCTTTGTTGCACCTACCTCCACCTCCAATACAAGTCTAAATCCTATGATCTCACCAACACCTTACCTATGGCCAGAGCCATACTGGCCACATCTGCAGCAAGCTCAGATTCTCTCTGGAGGGAGATGGGGGTAAGGTAGGGTGGGGCGGAGATAGTGGGAAGAGCCAGAGGCTATGGCACCAAATAGGGAAAGTTAAATCAAAAAAGAGGAGGCAGATTTTTATAAATCACAATTTTTATAAACCACCTTGAATTGTCTTCTTTCTTGAGCATCAAGAAAAATTCTCTTTATCCTCTTGGGTAAGGTACATAGAGTGTGCTGCATACTGAGAATGCAATAGCAAAAGGAGCAAACAGTCCCTTGCCTTAATGAGCTTATACTCTATTGTGTTCCTTGATTCCCATAAACTTGAGCCATTCCTTGGGGAGGAATATCATTCCCTTCACTTGGATTGAACTTCAAGACTGCATAGTCAGTTGCTGCCATGGAGAACAATGCGGCATGCCGTTATAACAGGTAAGCAGATTCTCAACATGTTTTTGGCGAGATTAGAAAGCTCCTGCAGGTATGTGTTTGTGGCAGCCTTCAGCCTGTATCAACAGATATGATGATTCATTTCTTCCTTTTGTGGAATGAGGCTTGCTGGAACACACCTAAGGGGAAAGGAGGGGGGAGGCAAAAGAGCCCCCTGCCAAAGGGAAAAGAATGAGATGTATGACTCTGGTTCTTAGTGCCTCAATGCTGTTTTTAAGTGGGATGGGGAGATAGGAGCTATCTCCATATAGTCTTGGTTAAGCAGGAATAATGGACAAATGCCATGGAATAGATTATTTTGGGGAGAACTGAATCAAGGTAAGATGAGCAATGAATGAAGGCACGCACTCAGGGGGTCTTTGGGCAAATTGGACTCAGAGTACATTTCTGGAGATGGGAGAAGAAAATTAAGGGTGACAGGATGATAGTTTAAGCCCCTGCACGGGATTTAGTCCAACTTGCTTTGGAGAAGTTATAGTGTCTATAGTTTGAAAGGACCTTGGAAATCACCTTTCTCACTGGCTGTTATTTTATAAATGTGGAGAGTGAAGCACAGAGAAGTATTGTGATTTACCACACGTACTACAAGTAGCAGAGAGATGGGATCTGAACCCAGATGGAGATCAGGCAATCTTTCTAATACTCCAAGTCTTCCTACCTTAAGATAAAGAACTTACCTTAAGGTGGGCAAAAAGTTATGACATCACCCTGCCAGATAAAGTTCACAAGGACTCAGGCCCCTACCACCCCTTCCCTCAGGAAAATACCAAGAGCTGGTTACTACACAAATCACTGGATACTTGCTTCTCTTCCTAGTGGAGAAGTTCACATCACCCCTCAGGATTAGATAACTCTGCCCCAAATAGGAAAAATCAATACTCAAGATGCCAGGCCACTATACAGAGCAAAATGGAAACAGTAACCCCTCCTCTATAAATACCTCCCCTTCAGAATTGGATGAATGTCCATTTGCCTCCTGGCATTATCTTCTTTAACCTCCTCCCAGCCTCTGGTGGGGAAGGGAAGGCTTGGCAAGCCTGTTGGGGTGCCCCTGACATATGGGCCCTGCAAGGCAGGGTTGTTTCTAAATGAGCCAAGTCTGCCAGGAAGGAGTCTTTTGTATCCCCTACTACTATGCAGGTGTGAGAGGGGTGAGCTCACAGCTGCCCCCCAGGCATGCCCAACCCACTTAATCATTCAGATCTTCAAGAGATTCTTCAGCCCAGCCCAGCCCTTAGAAGGATATAAAGAGTAGGGAAAGATTTGAGTCGTTGGATAACAGAGCCTCTGTCTTCCTCCTTCACTTTGCTCTGTTCTTTTCTTCCGAAAGCCTCTCCAGTACTTGGTTCTTCTGCTCCCCAAGTAGCCATGTCTCGACAATCAAGTGTCTCGTTCCAGAGTGGGGGCCGCCGTGGCTTCAGTGCCTCTTCAGCGGTCACCCCTTCTGTCAGCCGAACCAGCTTCAGCTCTGTCTCTGTATCCCGGGCAGGAGGTGGTGGTGGTGGCGGCGGCTATGGCCGCATCAGTATTGGTGGTGCTGGAGGGGGAGCCGGCTTTGGCAGCAGGAGCCTTTACAACCTTGGAATGTCCAAGAGGATCTCCATTGGAGGCAGTGGTGGCTTCAGGAGTGGCTACGGAGGGAGAGTAGGAGGTGGATATGGCTTTGGTGGAGGAGCTGGTAGCGGCTTTGGTGGAGGAGCAGGTAGCGGATTTGGTTTCGGCGGTGGGGCTGGTGGTGGCTTTGGGCTCGGTGGTGGAGCTGGCTTCGGTGGAGGTTATGGGGGACCTGGGTTCCCTGTATGCCCCCCTGGTGGCATCCAAGAGGTCACTGTCAACCAGAGTCTCCTGACTCCCCTCAACCTCCAAATTGACCCCACCATCCAGAGGGTGAAGAGTGAAGAGCGAGAGCAGATCAAGACCCTCAACAACAAGTTTGCCTCCTTCATCGACAAGGTGAGACAAGAAATGCTTACTAAACTGCTGTGAATCTGGGCTAAAGGCCAAAACAAGAAGGGGTAGGAAGGAGATTTCATGTCTTAGCCAAATGTGTACAGAGTGTGCATTATCTTCACTTCTACTCTTCTATCACCCTCTCATCTGTCCGCCTGTCCTTCTGTCCATCTGTCTGTGTGGTCTACCTTCCCTGCTAGATTAGGAGCCTAAAGAATGGAACAACCTCCCATCCTTCTCAATCTGCTCCTCCTAGAACCCAGCACCAGACTTTACACATGTTGGATACTTATCTACGTTATGGAGAGAAATTGGGGGCAAAACTTTAAATGTTGGGCAGGTTGCATGAAAGTGTATGCAGGTCATTTTGAAGGCAATGCCAATCCATTTACTCTCCCCTTTGCAGAGATGTCTAGAGTTCTGTCTAGCTGCTCTTCACTTTGTTTTTCTATTTCTCTAACTTATGTCTCTCCTTATATCCTCATTATACCAAAGCCCTCGAAAGCAAGAAGCATTTCCAGTCCTCCCTGTAGGTTTTCTCTAGGGGATGGGGGGCAGGGAGGAAAAAGGATGTGTGTGTGTGTGTGTGTGTGTGTGAGAGAGAGAGAGAGAGAGAGAGACAGAGACAGAGACAGAGAATGAGTGAGGAAGAGAGAGATGATTGATAAGATGAGGACTTGAAAGTAGCAACCCTGTGATATTCCATGGAACAATATTTATATTTATCTATTGTATTTGTATATTATTATATATTATGTTTATATATTATTTATATGTAATATTTATATTAGATATTCCTCTTGAAATAGTCTCTTCTGGTTTCCAGGTGCGATTCCTTGAGCAGCAGAATAAGGTGTTAGATACAAAATGGACGCTGCTCCAAGAGCAGGGTCAAAAGACCGTGAAACAGAATTTAGAGCCACTTTTTGAAACCTACATCAACAATCTCAGGAGGCAGCTAGAGAGTATTCTGAATGAGAGGGGTCACCTGGATTCTGAGCTGAGGAACATGCAGGATACAGTGGAGGATTTCAAGAACAAGTGAGTAGGAGGAGTCAATGGGGTGTGTATGTTGGGGTGTGGTAAGGAATTGTCTTTCTACAGTCACATGAAACTCATGATGGAGAGATAGGGAGAGGAAGGGGGAAGCAAGAGGGAAAAAGAGAGAGAGACAGATGGACAGAGACTGAGTACCATGGAAAGCACTATGGTTTCTCCTTTCTAGAAACTGAAGGTCTGATTTCTAGTAAGGAGTGGGAAAATAGAGGTAAGCAGAAAGAAGTAAGTAGAGCTGGGAAGGCTATCTCCCTAACTTGACATAATCTTAGCTATGGGCTGGGGAGTGGAGTGGAGTATGGTGGAATGGGAAAAAGAGCCAAAATAATAGAAATGGTAAAGCATGATAAAGGTTTGCTTTGTCTTGAGACAAATCCTTGAATTTCTACTATATATGATTTGAGGGAGTTTGGCAAATAAGGGAATCCACAGCCCTTAGCCTTCTCTATACTGCCTTTTCAGTTTTCTACCACAGAAAACGACAGTCTGAAAAATACCTAGTCACATCTAGGAGTTTCTGGATGATTCTAATTTTTCCAGTAAACGTCCCCCATCCCTGCTCCACATTCCCCACAACAGGAACTATATACCTTAGCCATAAAGCCACTAAGTCATGGGCTCCCTGAATTGGACATTGCCTCTAGTTTTATGTTCATATTCATGAGTCCCCTCCTCCAACACTCAATAAATGAGGATCCAGCCTTTGATAGAACTGTGACATATATTGTGCACATGTATTTTAGGCTGGGTACTTATAATGTTCTGGGCACTATACAGAGCATCACAATGTGTTTGGCCCCTCTTGAACCGATGACAGGAGACCCTTTGTTTCTGAGTCCTCTCACTTGGTGTCTCCCTCCCCATCCTATCCCCACCCCCAATTCTGAGGACTAAGCCTTCTAGCCCTGGAATTGGGAGATAATGCCCTCCTCAGTACTATGTGGCAATTAAAAAATCCTTGCTCAAGCATGGAAAAACAAACAAACAAACAAACAAAAAACAAACAAACAACAACAAACCTGTTTAGGGCTTAACCTCTTTCCCCTGGCATTTAACCTATGGCAATAATTCTACCCTTATAGCATATTTAGAGCATACAGGCATTCTATATAGTCCTTGCTCCTTAAGGCCTTTCATTCCGATTTTCCACACAGTAAAAATCTCTCTTTTATCTAGGGAGAGAGAGAACAATGGTGACCAAAGGAAGCAGACACAAAACATTTACTTTCAAGGCTCTTCTTTTGACTCTCCCATAGCTGGACTCCTGGTTTTACTTGGACTGAATTGAATCAAATAGAATCAAATGGGATAGGATTCAACTTGATTCAGTTCAATTCCTTTTATTCTCATTCAAGAGAGTCAGCAGAATTTAGTGGAAGGAGTTCTGGATTTGGAGTTTCATGACTTGGGTTCAAATCCCACCCATCTCTACAACATAATACTTTCACAACCTTGGGCAAATTATCTGCCTTCCTGGTGTCTCGGTTATCTCCTCTATAAAATGAGAGTTGGATTAGATGACCTTTTCTAGGTCTTTTCCAACTCTATATTTATGATCTTAGGATCCTATGAATAACTATTTGATACCCTCAGGGCTTCGATGTTCTGAGTGATCTCTGTATGAAGAACCAGATGCATCAGTATAAATAGCTTCATGAATTGGAGAAAAGTAAGATAGAGAATCTTTTAGTATATTCTTAGAATAATTGGATCTGTAAACAGACAGACTGAGTGGGCAGTTGAAGATAGGATGATTCTTCCCAAGCAGACAGGGAAGACAAATTCCCACAATTGCCAGGACCCAGGGGCTCAGGCCCTGACTACTTCCTCCCTTTCTGTCTTCCTTCATAGCAGGTGCCATCATCCTTCACTCTCTCCTTCTCTCTCCCCAAGTGGAGGTTCCTAGCCTGTAGGAAAGAAGAGATGAGAAATAGACATCTTGCAACAGCAGAGATGAGCCTCCTTGTAGTCAATATGAAGGCCAATGTGTGCTTGACTTAGTGATGGGTGTAATTGTGTCCTTCAATGTTGACTATCTCAGGTCCCCTATCAATTGATCCTGTTCCCTTTTCCATTAGGTATGAAGACGAAATCAACAAGCGTACTACAGTAGAGAATGAATTTGTGATACTCAAGAAGGTAGGTGTGGATTGATATGTGCCTATAACCTGAAGTTACATTTTGGGTACAGGGCATGGCTCATTGGAGTTTGGATGGAAAATTTGGTCTGTTTTTTCTAGGATGTCGATGGTGCCTACATGAACAAGGTGGAACTGGAAGCCAAGGTGGACAGCCTCACTGATGAGATCAACTTCCTGAGAGCCCTCTATGAAATGGTAATGAAGCACCTCTCCTCAACCACATACAGGATATAGCAACTGGTGACTTTGCCAACAACTAAGATCTCTGGAGACAAAGGGCTATTAAGCTTAAGTGGTAGCTGGATCCCCAGATCCTGGGACTAACAAATACAATCCTGTCCCAGATTCAAATATTCCTAAGTACAAACCTGTTCCTTCCTCTTGCAATTCCCCAATTTTGATTTCCTGGGCATTTATATTCCTGAAAGAAATTCTTCATTTACTCCCAGTAACTATGCTATGTAAAGAGCCTTAGAAGTGAGTCTCATAGATTTATAGGATGTTTGAGCTGCAAGACATCCTTGAGATTACCTTGTCCAAAGCCCTGCTTTTATGAGGTTTTCTGACTTTATGGACTACTTTCTAGTTCCTTCCAGAATAGGAAGCTATATTTTAATTAGTGAGGGGAAGAAGCAAGATTAAAACCTGAGAGGTTATGGAGATCCTTGATGAGGGAGTGGTGGGAAAAAAGTCACTAGATATAAACATTTGAAAACCACTATGTTGGAAAATGTTTGGAATCATGTAGTTTTTTAGAATTGTTTCAGCAAAGATTTCAGTTGTTCTCTTAACTTTCTTCAGCATCTGAATGTGACTGTAATTGTGAAGAAAGTACAAAAGAATTAATGACACAGAACCAGATAACATGACTGCATATCTCTCCCCAGGAACTCTCTCAGATGCAGGTTCATATCTCTGACACCAATGTTGTCCTGTCTATGGACAATAACCGTAACCTTGACTTGAACAGTATCATTGCTGAGGTCAAAGCTCAGTATGAAGACATTGCCAACCGCAGCCGAACAGAAGCTGAGTCCTGGTACCAGACTAAGGTGAGTTAGTGCTAATTTGTAATGGGAATCCAAGCTCTGGGACCCAGCCTAGGAGAACTGGACAATTGCTGCTTAAAGAACTGTGGAAATGTGAAGGAGAGGTATAGGGTGGACCTAATGGAGAAACTTCCAAGGATTGGTGGAACTGTTAGGGGAACCAGGTCAACAATGGGATTAGTCTTCCCCGTGAATACTTAGAGTCTAAGTTCTGGTTCTGCCTCTTATAGATTGTGATTTTGGATAAATCACTTAACTTCTCTGTGCCTCAGTTTCCCTACTTACTTATGAAATGCAGTTAATAATATTTGACATCTTTAAATAATGAGATTGTCATGAGTATAACACTTTGTAAAGCTTAAAGGATATAGAAATTGGGGCTATTATTCTAATCCCCACAAGCTTTTTTTGTTTTCAAGATTCTAAGTCCTAGTGTTGAAGAGACAACAGCTTATAGATAGCAAGTTTTCCTTCTACTCATCGTAGTAAGAGTGCTTTCTCTCCCTGCTTATGCTAAACCTTTTCCTCCTCTCTGGGGGCATCAGTATGAGGAGCTGCAGCAGACTGCAGGACGCCATGGAGATGACCTCCGCAATACCAAGCATGAGATCTCTGAGATGAACCGGATGATCCAGAGGCTGAGAGCTGAGATCGACAATGTCAAGAAGCAGGTAGGGTGATATTGAAAGAAGGCATACAAGTGGGTCAAGGGTGCAAGTATCTGTGGACATTTCTATTGTTAAATGCACATACCTCCACACATACACACACACACACATACACTCACACACTCAAATACAGTCATATTCATTTAGGAGTTGAAACATGGCACCACCATGCCAAATACCCAAGCTGCAGTTGTCCTTGAGTTCATATAGGACACTTCTTGGTATATCTGTGTGACTTAAGGCTCTTCAGGAAGAAAAAAAGGGTAGGTTCTGTCCACCATGCCCCACACCAAACACTTCTCTCCTTTCCCTTGTAGTGTGCCAATCTGCAGGCTGCCATCGCTGATGCTGAGCAGCGTGGGGAGTTGGCCCTCAAGGATGCCCGGGCCAAGCTGGCTGAGCTGGAGGATGCCCTGCAGAAGGCCAAACAGGACATGGCCCGCCAGCTGCGCGAATACCAGGAGCTGATGAATGTCAAGCTGTCCTTGGACATTGAGATTGCCACCTACAGGAAGCTGCTAGAGGGAGAGGAGTGCAGGTGGGAAACTGACTCCTCCCTTCTTTCCATTCCTAATCCCAAAAGTCTTATCTAAACGTGAAATAATTTATCCTGGGTGAGCCTTCATTTACTTCTCTTTTATTGAACATTCACAAGGCTCTTTTAAAGATAAATCAACTTTTTAAAAAATCGCATGTATTTTGAAACATCACCAGTCATATACAAAGTCTGGGAGTTTTAGATTTCTGTTTTTAATTATACATGTTTCAGATTACCCACTCAACTTCCTCCTTCCTTTGGTGCAGATAACTGAAAGCTGGCCCGATTTTCAAATTCCATATGTGGAGGGATTGCAAATGTCACTGGTAGAAAGATCTTGTTTTGATTGAGACCTGCTAAGTTGTTTTCCGTCACTACTTCCCAGGTTGAAATAGAGAATTCCAGAATTGGAATTCTGGTCCTCAGAACCAGTGTCCTGCTTCCAGGGGACCAGAAACCCAAACAGACAGCCCAGAAAGGTCTCTAAGGAGGCAGCTGCCACAACCACTTTAGGTTCCTGTTCTAGTAGGAAATGATTTGTAGTAGTCAGGAAATGTGCCCTTGGGATATAACCAACTCCTTTCTTGCTGCAATTTAAACCCATTTCAGTATGGTATAGTAATGGCTAGACCTGAACTCAGTGCCTGGAGTTCTGGACCTGGAATCATTTCGGAAAGCCTGGTTTCAAATCTCTCCTCAGACTAGTGTATGACTTTAAACAAGTCCCTTAAATTCTTTGAGTCTCCATTTCTCTGTCTATAAAATGGGAACACTAATGGCATCTACCTTGCAGGGTTATTGTGAGCATCAAATGATATCCTCTTACCCCCAAAGTCATATAATTGTGAGCATCAAATGAGATAAAACATATAAAATATTTTGAAGGTCTTCACTGTGCACCTTCTATTGTTGGACAGAAGGTATCTTACCAGTTAGTTATAGGACTTTGGGGTTATCTCCAAGGCACAAAGCTGCTTTTTGCTTCACTGTCTAATTCAAATCTCACCTCCTTTCTTTTGTTCTTTATAGGCTGAGTGGAGAGGGAGTTGGACCAGTCAACATCTGTAAGTACCTTGCTCAGAATAGCAGTGATAATGTTATTAATATCAGACATTGGGCTCTAGTTTTGAAGGTAGGGTCTGTGGATAGCAGTCACACCACCTGGAAATTCCACATGGGCAAGAGGTTTAGAAGAAATGTGGTCAAGTGAAAAGAGCTCAGACGAGGAGGGAAGAGGCCCAGCTTCTTATTCCAATCTTGTCACTGACTTACTGAGGGACCTTGACCAAACTGTGCAACCCAGTCCCTCAGTTTTCTCTATCTGCCAAATGGGAATAATAATACCTGCCTCACAAACCTGAGCAATTGTGATACAAACTGATGATACAATTCACAAATTATAGATAGCAAGTTTTCCTTCTACCCATCATAATAAGAGCGCCTTCCCTCCATGTTTATGCTAAACCTTTTCCTTTTCTCTGGGGCATCAGTAAGTGTTTTATAAGGTATAAAACTCATGTGTCAGCACCTTGAGAATTGTGACCATATTGGTCTTAAGTTGGGTCTAACACATAGCTTGACACAATGCATACTTGGTTAATTGAATTAAGAGAAGATGCATATGATGAATAGAAACAGAAGCAGTAATGGTTCTTTGCACATAGTCATTTTCCTCATCTGCCAAAGAGTTGGACTGAATGATGTTTAATTGCTCTGTCTCAGAATCTATAGTCCTATATATAAATTAAGTTCTGGAGAGTTTTTACGGTGAATAGACTGACAGGAGCCCACAGAGTGGCTGCAATTGTAATGTTCATGTTTTTTGCTAGGAAAGTCACTAGTGGAGGTTGGATGTTACGGCCCTCTCCCTCCCCCTTCCCAATCTCGAGGTCATATTGGACATCGAGAGGGGAGGGAGTGGGACCAGTCCTAGAAGTCAGACTTCCTTCCTTCTCTCTCCCACCCCTTGGCCAGGGCCCCTGTCATCAGAATGGGTGGGCAATGTGGCCTCCTCATCTCTTCTCTCCCTTTCTCGTAGCCGTGGTCACATCCAGCGTGTCCGGCGGCTACGGCGGCAGTGGCGGCGGCTTCGGCAGCGGCAGTGGCTATGGCCTTGGCGTGGGCGGAGGGCTCGGAGGCGGCAGCGGTTACTCCTACACCAGCAGCAGCGGCAGCGGCGGCGGCCTCGGCGGCCTCAGCACCCTCAGCTCAGGCGTCTCTGGCTTCAGCCCCGGCAATGCCCGGGGCCTGGGGGTCAGCCTGGGCGGCGGTGGGGGCAGCGGCTCCAGCGTTAAATTTGTGTCCACCACTTCCTCCACCCGGAAGAGCTTCAAGAGCTAAATCTCCTCCCAGCAAGTGTCTTCCACTTGAATATCAGCTCTCCCTGTCCCTTGGCCACTGCACGACGGATCCTCATTAGCTTGGATGGCAGCCAAGCTGCTCTCTGCTTTCCTCTCTCCACCTCCCCCTCTCCTCCCCTGTTCACTGGTGTTTAGTCTAGACCAGACTAAGGGGGTGATTTGTATTCATGAGCCTTCCAGGTCATCTCCAGCACTTAGCACCCTCATCTCTGGTTCTTAGCTCCCAGCCTGGCCAGAGGCCATCAGAAAATGCTTTCCAATGAAGTTTGGAGGCCTTATAAGTAATCTTTATCCTCCTTTCCATGACTCCACTCATTCCAGCATTCACTTCTCTCACATAAGCACTTAGCCCAAAACTATGACCACGCCCTCTTGACTACAGATGTCAGAAGCATGGTGCATATTGGTATGCTGGCTTAGAAAATCCTTGAATTGAGGAAGATAAGGACCAGAAACAGTTGAAGGAAAGCTTTGGTCCAGTCAGAATCTGGGCTCCTCAACCCTTGGGGAGTAGCAATCCCCAAGTCTCTTGCTGGGGCACCCTAGGGCAATCTTGTGATTTCAGAAAGAGTGGTTCAGCCCATGCTCTGTCTAGCGGAAAGGTGTCTGGCCTCCTCACTGTGATTGAGGGTGGGATTTAGTCATTTGTCTTGTAAGCAATTCTGGTTTCTCCTGGGAGACAGCCTTTCATTCCACAGGAGGTGGCATTTGGTTGTACTGGAAGCAAAAGTCGCTCGGTGAATGTCAACAGAACTCCATTCCCCATTGTTTGTTCTTGATTCTGACCACTTTTTGGTGTTTGTTCAATAAAGTACATTTATAATTTAATTTTCCGAGCAGAATTTCTTTCCTATATCTACAACCAACCTGGAGAGTCATATCTGGATAATTCTTAAGTAGAATAGGATAATTGATAAGGGCAATTGAGCATTAGTCTGAGGAGTGAACATTTAGTACTTTTCCAGAATGAAGAGTAAGGGAGGTGAGGTGGAGAGTGGTTCCTGTAAACACTGATTAGTTGATTGGGATACCTGGGGATTTCCCTGGATTGCTGTAAGGAGGTTGACACCCTCCCACTGCCCCCAACCATGAAGGATCCTGGAAAGCATGCAATGTGTAATGAAAAGAGCTCAGAGCTAGTAGCCCAGAAAACCAAATTTAGTTCCTGTTGAGCAACTTGCTAATTGTTAAGACTTGAGACAAATCACTTAATTTGTGCTTCAGTGCCCTCACCTATAAAATGAAGATGATACCTGTTGTGAAGATAAAATGAGAAAACACTTTGTAAAGGGAAGAGAGCATTATAAAACAAGGCAAATAGACAACAACAGCCTGGAGAGGCAACTTTCCATGTTTGCATTTTGCTAGATGAGAGAGCCAATTAGTGACTTGAAACTCTGCCCTAAAGGTTTTTGTATCCTAGAGATTTGCCTTGGCTTTCACTGGGGAGACTGTCTAACCACGACCTTGCCTTCCAGGCCCAACGAGATCTGGCTCCAACTTATCTTTCTAGTTTTATTTCCCTGTGTTCCCCTTCATAAAGCCAATGCTCCAACCAAGTGCGCCACTAGTTCTCATCTTTCCTCCTGCAACCCACTTCCATGATATCTGGATTGTATTTATCAATACCTATTGAAATCCTCTTATTTCAAAGCTCAGTTCTTTCAGGAAGCCCTCCTTGGTCTTAGCTAAGGTCCTGCTCTGGTTCCATAAGCTAAAAGTGTTCTGTCCTTCCTCAGACTTTTCTAGAGTACTTTATCTGGATGTCTCTCCTGCTCCTATCATTCTCTATCTCCTATCATTCATAATTATTTGTACTTGGGTTTGTTGTTTGTTGTTTCACCCACCTCATCCCATCAGCTTATGATCTTTTAATTAATTAATTAATTAATTAATGGTTAGTTTTCAACATTCACTTCAATAAGATTTTGAAGTTTCAAATTTTTTCCCCATCTTTCCCCTCAGTCCACCCCAAGACAGCATGCAATTTGATATAGGCTCTACATATACATTCATATTGAACCTATTTTCACATTAGTCATGTTGTAAAGAAGAATTAGAACCAATAGGAGAAACCATGAGAAAGAAGAAAAAAAGGAAAAAAAGAGAAAGAGAGCAAGTAATATGCTTTGATCTGCATTCAGACTCCATAGTTCTTTTTCTGGATGTGGACAGCATTTTCTATCATGAGTCCTTTGGAGTTGTCTTGGATCCTTGCATTGCAAAGAAGAGATGAATCTATCAAAGTTAGTCATCCCATAATATGGCTCTTGCTGGGTACAATGTTCTCCTGGTTCTGCTCACTTCACTTAGCATCAGTCCATACAAGTCTTTCCAGGTTTTTCTCAAGTCAGCCTGTTCATCATTTCTTATAGCACAGTAGTATTCCATTAGATTCATATACCATAACTTGTTCAGCCCTTCCCCAACTGATGGGCAACCTCTCAATTTCCAATTCTTTGCCACCACAAAAAAAAATATAAATATTTTTGTACATGTGGGTCCTTTTCCCATTTGTATGATCTCTTTGGGATACAGACCTAGAAGTGTTATTGCTGGGTCAAAGGGCATGCACATTTTTATAGCCCTTTTGGCATAGTTCCAAATTGCTCTCCAGAGTGGTTGGATCATTTCACAACTCCACCAACAATGCATTGGTGTTCTAATTTTCCCACATCTTCTTCAGCATTTATCATTTTACTGTTTTGTCATGTTAGCCAATCTGATAGATGTGATGCAATGTGTTACCTTAGAGTTGTTTTGATTTTCATTTCTCTAATCAATAGTGATTTAGAGCATTTTTTCACATGACTATAGATAGCTTTAATTTCTTTCTCTGAAAACTGCCTGTTCATATCCTTTGACCATTTATCAATTGGGGAATGCTTTGCATTCTTATAAATTTGATTTAGTTCTCTATATATTTTAAGAATGAGGCCTTTATCAGAGACACTGGTTGTAAACATTCTTTCCCAGTTTTGTGCTTCCCTCCTAATCTTGGTTGCTTCGGCTTTGTTTGCGCAAAAACTTTTTAATTGAATGTAAGTAAAATTATCCATTTTGCATTTCATAATGTTCTGTATCTCTTGTTTAGTCATAAATTCTTCCATTCTCCATAAATTTGGCAGGTAAACTATTCCTTGTTCTCCTTTATATCTAAATCCTGTATATATTTTGACTTTATCTTGGTATATGGTGTAAGATATTGGTCTATGCCTAGTTTCTGCCATACAATTTTCCAGTTTTCCCAGCAGTTTTTGTCCAATAATGAGTTCTTATTCCAGAAACTGGAGTCTTTGGGTTTATCAAACAGTAGGTTACTGTAGTCATTGACTATTGTGTCTTGTGTACCTAACCTATTCCATTGATCCGCCACTCTATTTCTTAGTCAGTACCAAGTAGTTGTGATGATTGCTGCTTTATAGTACAATTTAAGATCTGGAATGGCTAGACCACCTTCCCTTTCATTTCTTTTCATTAATTTCCTTGATATTCTGGACCTTTTGTTCTTCCAGATGAATTTTGTTATTATTTTTTCTAGCTTCATAAAATAATTTTTCATAGTTTTATTGGTAAGGTACTGAATAAGTAAATTAATTTAGGTAGAATTGTCATTTTATTACATTAGCTTGGCCTACCTATGAGCAACTGATGTTTTTCCAATTATTTAGATCTGACTTTATTTGCATGAAAATTGTTTTGTAATCATGTTCATATACTTCCTGGGTTTGTTTTGACAGGTAGACTCCCAAATATTTTATAATGTCTACAGTAACTTTAACTGGACTTTCTCTTTCTATCTCTTGTTGTTGGGCTTTGTTAGTAATATATATGGAAATGCCGATGATTTATGTGGGTCTGAGCTTATTGTCTTCTTAAAAGCAACTTCTTTGAGGCAACTAATTTGCAAAGTGGCTAGATCTCTGGGTCTGGAATCAGGAAGACCTGAGTTCAAATTCATATCAGACACTTACTAGTTGTGTGACCCTGGGCAAGCTCATCCTGTTTGCCTCAGTTTCCTCATCTATAAAAATGAGCTGGAGGAAAAAATGGCAAACCACTTCAATATCTTTCCTGAGAAAACCCCAAAAGGGGTCACGAAGAATTGGAAACAAAAATAACAATAAAGACATAGGTCAAGGACTGTATTTTTTTTATTGTTTGTTTCTATTCAACTTTATAAACATTTATTAAATGTCTATGTGTCAGGTACTGTCTTAAACCTGGTAATACAAAGACAGAAATGAAATAATCCTTGTCCTCCAGGAACTTAACACTACTGGGAGATAGAACACATATAAAGATAAATAAATATAAGGCAATTTGTGGAGGGAAGAGAACAGTAACAACTGAGGAAATCTGGGAAGACTCCTCTGAGTAAGAAACAACTTAGCTGACCTATAAGTGGAGCTATCTCTGGGATTCTGACAGGCAGAGATGAGAAGGGAGCATATTCCAAGCATGGACTCCAGGCATGGAGGACAGCTTGAACAGAGGTAAGACATGGAATGTCAATTTCCGAGGATAGGAAGTAGTCTAATGCATCTGAGGCATGGGGTAGACAAAAAGGAGGGATATTAGAAAAGACTGAAGAAAAGACAGGGCAGAGTCAGATTTTGGAAGATTTTATGTGTCTCCACAGCATTTGAGGAATTGATATTTTATCCTGGAGTTACTGAGAAACTAACAAATCTTTGTTAGCACAATCTGGCACATAGTACGCACTTGATAAACCTTTGATGATGAGTCATTGAATTGAAATGTCAAAGACTCGCAGCTTCTCCAAAACTGATCTTCTATGACAATAGAAACTTTTATCCCCTTGTCTCTGTCCCTCTGTGGGTATCAGGTATGTTTCTATGCCATGTTTGAGCAACAGTCTCCTCACTCACGTTGTCTCTCTAGGTGTCTGTGGGCTGTATTGCTCTCTACTTCTGTGAAGAATTCCAGAAGGCTGGAAGAAGAAGGAAGTTTGAAAAGTGCAAGGGAAACTTCATGAATAAGTTACAGTGGATGAGAGCTTTTGCCTTTCACTTAGCCTAGCCAGACAAAGGTTATTGTTGTTTGTCCTAGGCAGTTTGAAATGAGATGACAAAGGATTTTCAAAGGGAGGGAACTATTAGAAAACCTAATCAGCTTCCATTCTTTCTAGGAATTTTACTTCTTTAAAGTATACCAAGAGGTGTAGAGAACACAAGATCTCTGGAACCAAAAGATTTGGGTCTGAATGCTGGCTTGAAACTTGGAGTTATGAGAATGAAGGCACATCATTTAAAAGGCCTGGAAGGAGATCATCAGATTTAGAGGTAGAAGAAGGCTGAGATCTTCAAGTTCTTAACCTGGGATCTACCAGCTAAATAGATGAAAAGAGAGATAATGTAGATAGATAGAGAGATAACTGCATTTCAATATAATTGCTTTCCCTTGTAATACATATTTTATGTATTTAAAAACATTATTCTGAGAAAAGATCTATAGACTTCGCCAGACTGCTTGACACAAAAATGGTAGGAGCTCATGAACTGGTGAATCAATGAAAACCAGTTTGCTGAGTATGGCCCTAATTCCCAGGTGCATGAATGCCAAGGTTTCACTGACCTGCAGATCAGGCATTGCCCCCTTTCCCAGCTGCTTGCTTCTTGAGGCACAGTTAGAGTTAAGTTTCCTGGGTTCCTGTGCCCCATTCTTCATTTCTTATTAAGCAACTCAGAAAATGCTGCCATTTGAGTGGGCCTATACCAGAGTTATCACAATACTGCACAATAATCCCCAGTGACCCCAAGCCAGATTAAAATGGAATTGGGAAATAACAACAAAATAAATAAAAA